AATATCATTCAACAGAGGATATACATATGTATTACATTGTCATTCAACAGAAGAAACTTGTTCTACAATATCATTCAACAGAGGATATACATATGTATTACATTGTCATTCAACAGAAGAAACTTGTTCTACAATATCATTCAACAGAGGATATACATATGTATTACATTGTCATTCAACAGAAGAAACTTGTTCTACAATATCATTCAACAGAGGATATACATATGTATTACATTGTCATTCAACAGAAGAAACACTTGTGTTGTAAGCTGTCATTTGGCAGAAGAAACACTTGTGTTGTAAGCTGTCATTCGGCAGAAGAAACACTCGTGTTGTAAGCTGTCATTCGGGCAGAAGAAACACTTGTAGCACAAATGGTGAATAAGAAGGAAAGAAAGTTAACTTTTCAAAAGTGGCTATATGTTCTGATGCTGTTGCAAGTTTGGCTTAACTGAAAGGACTTGCAGCACACTTTCCTTCACCCGAGAGGGTGTTTGATTTCAAAATACATTCAGAATTCACTAATACAAACACATCTTTTAAAACCCTTACCTCAACTAAGAGCTCTCTCCTTACTGCATCCTTAGCATTCGACTGTGCAGAGATCTCATTTCCACAAACATCGTTGTCTTCCAAAGCATGTGCATAAACAGTCAAGTTGACCTTTCCGATAGCATGTGGTTCAACTAACCATCTGATGGTGTCACTTGACTGACCACAAACACAAATTCTCGAGACACTTGTGTCATTCTGCAGCTCGTATGCTTCATTATGCTCCAGTTCAAGCTCAATCTAGAAATTAAATTAAGGAGAAAAGAAAAAAAGTATCCTAGTAAGAGATGATTGTGGCACAAACCAAAGGCAACAGACAATCAAAAATAAACACAATGTTAATAACACAAAAATAGAATGTTTACATAGTAAACAGCGATTATGTTTTTTTATTATATATATATACGTGTACGGTATTCTCAGAAGATAGCTTCATATATTTATCTTTTAAAACAAGCCTATACCTTTATCACGTATTCCAACTATATTTTTATAAACTGTACTTTTAATTTTGTAATTTGTTTGTTAGATAGAGGGAGCTGCTGGTCTTAATTATAATGTTAATTAGGCCAAGAAAGTTCTAGAGTGACATCAAATTTTTCTCATACAAGATAAATGTAAAGAGTTATTTCTAGCTGATTGAGTGAAACAGTCAAGGTGTTTGGATCTGTGTTAGATATTTATTGGGTTATCTTGTACAAGTAAGTTGATTTTACATTAACCATAATATTGTTCGAGAGGTTTGAAAGCCATTTGTAACATAGGTCCACAACAATTTATTACAGTGTTCAAAATGTTCAAGGTTTTAGAAAAGTTAAAGGAGGAAATAAATTAATTCATGATTGTTACATGGACTGGATGTTGAATAATGTTTGCCAGATAAGTTAAAAGAACCTGCCAATAAGAAAACAACATTTTATGATAAATCAGACGTGTTTCTGGCTCGAACCGTAAAGATGATTTCATACTTACAGGCAAGCATTCACTGAGGTAATTGAAGACGGTTACAATCACAGGAACTTTCTCTCCACGGATGACAGAGTAAGGAAGTGTGAAACTGACAAAGAATGGCTGGAATGCTTTAACAGTTACAGGGCCAGAAATACCAAGCCCTGCCTCTTCATTCAGACAAACAGCACTGCCAACCCACTCAGTAATAGTATGTGGAATGTCTTGTTTAATGTTTAACTCCCCACTCCCCCTAGGGAAAATGGAAAACAATTCACAAGTTAAATTATCTAACATACGTTGTCAGTGATATTCAAATAAAGGTTTATGTTAACACTTGTTCTTATATAGTTCACTATCAATGGAGGCTGTGCAGCATATTAAATGGACGGATTTTTATTCTTTTCTCTGTTACTGTACAGAACTAGCCAAACAATATTGTCTGAAATACATAGGAAGCCCAGCATTATTTAATGTAATGAACTACAATACTGATGGTATTTATACCTACATTCTTTTATGTATTTTGTATGTTATTAGGTAACCAACAAAGTGGTCTGGCATGGCCAGGTGGTTAGGGCTCTCAACTTGCCATCTGAGGGTCACGGGTTCGAATCCCCGTCACACCGAAACATGCTCACCAGGTGCCCGAACTAGGACGTCAGTCCTACTTCTGGATACTCACCTCCAACAGAATTTGGAGGTGTGAGAAACACCATACGAAACTACTACCAACAAAGTCATTAACCCACAAACAACATGGTGCGTGAATAATAGTAATTCTAGGATTGAAACACCACAAAGTATGTACACTATGTATGTTTAATCATGATTAATGACCAGGAGAATCTAATAAAAAACATAATCCAAAAATGATCTATTGTTCAATTTATCTCTTGTCACCCAGTTATACCAATTTAGGGAATTCTACCCCTCATAAATAACCCTGCATAAGGGCTAATCAAAAGAACAAGACTAGGTTTCTTATAGTGACGGACTGTATATTATATGCAAGATGTTTTTAGTTGTCTTTTACTCACTACCTTAAACCTAATTTATTTCTGTGAATTGTTCAACAGACTAACTGTTTACAATACTCAGTAAGAAGCAGTAACTATATTGATAAATTAGGCTTCACACTTATTCATGTCTCATACAATGTAGTGAATATATTGATAAATTAGGCTTCACACTTATTCATGTCTCATACAATGCAGTGAATATATTGATAAATTAGGCTTCACACTTATTCATGTCTCATACAATGCAGTGAATATATTGATAAATTAGGCTTCACACTTATTCATGTCTCATACAATGCATTGAATATATTGATAAATTAGGCTTCACACTTATTCATGTCTCATACAATGCAGCAAATATATTGATAAATTAGACTTCACACTTATTCATGTCTCATACAATGCATTGAATATATTGATAAATTAGGCTTCACACTTATTCATGTCTATTACAATGCAGTGAATATATTGATAAATTAGGCTACACACTTATTCATGTCTCATACAATGAATATATTGGTAAATTAGACTTCACACTTATTCATGTCTCATACAATGCAGCGAATATATTGATAAATTAGGCTTCACACTTATTCATGTATCATACAATGCTGTGAATATATTGATAAATTAGGTTTCACACTTATTCATGTCTCATACAATACAGTGAATATATTGATAAATTAGACTTCACACTTATTCATATCTCATACAATGCAGTGAATATATTGATAAATTAGGCTTCACAC